CATTTGAAACGTCATTATATACACGTATATACACTTATATGCAAATTTGCATATAAGTGCATATACGTGTATATAATGACGTTTCAAATGCCATGATAACAATATTGTACTATCTAGCTTACGTAAATATTCAAAAAAATTATTTGTTATACTAAAGATTCGCTTAAAGTTAATCAATAAAAGACGGGAAAACGGCCAATTATTCGAGCATGAAAATTATTTTTCGGTTTTCCTCTTGTATTAAGAGGAATATGTTTTTTTCAAGCGGAATGCTCTCTTACATGCGATATGAGTAACACGAAAAGCAATGTGTATCGCTGTAATGACGTTTTAAATGCCATGATAACAATATTGTACTATCTAGCTTACGTAAATATTCAAAATAATTATTTGTTTTGGCACGTACAATATCAATAAGTACGTTATACATACATTTCTGTTCTTTTAAAAATTATTATTTTATAGCAGACTAACAATAAGTTCACCAAATCAAAATTATTTTATGGAAGACTAATTTTTGATTAACAGATCAAAATGAGAAAGTGAAGACTGATAATATTAATTTGTTTTGAATCTTGCGGCAATTTATATATTCACATATTTCCTGTTAAGTAAAGATATATACTATAGTATATATAAAGTATAAAGTCATTTATTTTAACTGACTATACGACGTGTGCATGTGCATACGTACGCACTTATGTGAAATCAATTTATTAACATGTGTGCACAAAATATAAGCATATATTTCAGATGTAAAGTAAAAATACTTTCCAATATTTAAGTTGTATCTATATAGAGTATTCAATCGAAAATAATATCAGCCATTAAGATAATACGAAACTAAAGTTTAATAATAAAAATAACGGTTGAATTTGTTGCTATTTATACTGCAAAAATTTTACGACGTTGTTACCGTCACAGACAGAAGAAAAAAAATAAACATTACCGAAAAGAACGGTATAAACGATAATGACGTTGCTAACCCTGCTTATACTTTTTAATTTAATGTTCCTATTCTTAAAAAGCATTTATTATTTTTACCAATATTTTGCTTTATAATAATTTCCTATTATTTCCAAACAATTTATGAAATATATATATGTGTGTGTATGTGTGTGTGTGTGTGTATCAGACAAATCCAATTGCTCGGTATATTGTTTATTTATTACAACTTCCAAATACATGTAATATTTTTATGTAATTTTAAAACTTAATGTGTTCAAAAAAGCGCAGTACTTTCAAGTTATACAATAGTAATAAAGATATTAATAGATGCTCATAGTAAGTGCATTTTTTCATAGGTAAAGTATTTCATAACAGTGCCTTTGTCGAAGTTGATAATAAAAGTTATTCCTTCTGCAAGAAAGTTAATTCATCAATATAAAAAACTAAAAAACTCATAAGTCATTAAAATATTGGTAAAGATCAAAAAATTTACTTATAACTTACATGATATTTTACTTTTTTCTTTTAAGAATATCCTACCAAAACTCTTTTTAAAAAAAAGAAAAAGATAACGCCAAGTATATAAAAAGTATCGTTTGTTACGTTTTTCCTAAACCAACAATATTATTTTAACAAATAAAAATTGTCCAAAAACAAATATGAGATCATACACGTTGCCAAGTATTTGATTAGAAACAAAAATATTTTTTTAATATACCTTTTAACCATCTAAAAGTACATGCAGCAAAAGTTTAATGCCATTGTTTTTCCAAATATTTTTAAGTTTCATTAAACAGGCTTAAAATGACTAAAATGACCAATAGGATCACAGCGAAGCAAAAACTTGGCGTGCCCGCATTTTATATACATCTTATCAATTAAATATTAATATAAGCCGGGCACGCCAAGTTTTTGTTTCACTGTAATCCCATTGGCCATTTTAGTCACTTTAAGCCTGTTTTATGAAACTTAAAAATATTTGGAAAGACAATGGCATTAAACTTTGTTGCATGTACTTTTGGATGGTTTAAAAGTCTATTAAAAAAGTCTATTAAAAAAATATTTTTGTTTCTATGTCTAATCAAATACTTGGCAACTTGTATGATCTCACATTTGTTTTTGGATAATTTTTATTTGTTAAAATAATATTTTTGATTTAGGAAAGATGTAACGTACGATACTTTT